TTGGGTTTTAGTTCAAGTTTCACCACTAATTAGTTAGGTGACCTTAAATATGCTGCTAAACCTCCCTGGTCATTAATTTCTCATCTGGAAGATGAGACTTTACAACTTTTTAACTTTCAGGTAACATTTTTCGTCTTGCCCAAAGGAAACATTAAAGTTTTTCCCCTAAAAATCAAGAGACATTCTAAGACCTTCGATAATTCACTTAACTTTAATGAACTTCATTGTAATCATCTGTAAAATAAAGATAAACAGCCCACCACCTCAAAGGACTGTATAAAGGTCAAATGAGAAAATACAGATAAAAATGAATAGATAATTTAAAAATCCTGATAAAAATGTAAGACATTATTATACTATTTAGTGGAAAATGCAAGCAAGCGGCATTATTCGTTCTTCAATTAGTTAGGATAGCATGCTAACCCAGCCAAGGACAGTGACTGGATCCTTGAACAGTGTTCACAGCAGAACACTGTTCACAGCCACAGGCTGTACCTCATCCCTTATGTACAAAGACGTACATGATCACAAAATAAGGTCACCTTTATCCCCGAAGGACTACAGAGCAGGGAATATATCAGTTGAAGTTACTGAGTTATCAGTTGAGATCTAAATTAAAGCCTGGTTACGGTTTCTAAAAATGTTATTAGAATTTTCATAACCACTCTGTATTAGAATCAGTAAACTTTTCATATTTTGATAATAATTTGGAGGGCGTATTTTAGCATGAAAGGGACTCTGTAAGAAATAATCTGGTTACAAAGACATAGTTTCTCATATAAACATGTCTCATCATTCAAGTGAAACATAAAGAGGCTAGTTAAACAAAAAGAAACAAACACAGAGACAAACGTCCTGACAATTTCATTGTTCTTTAAGAGACAGATTAATGAATATGCATGCAAAGTCCAAAGAAAATGTAAAATGTTTTTCCCTAGGAGGCTCTCAACTTGGCCAACATACAACCAAGAAAAGTGACAGCGCAGGAATCCAAACTAGTTTCTTTAACTTAGCAGCCTAATAAAGTCAGCAGTATTTGCTACATGTCCCCTAACATACAGAAAGAGCCATACTGTATATGACACTCAAAATCTCAAACCATTCTAGATACATAAATTATTTTCAACTCTGAAGTTAAATTTCATGCCGGTCTACTTCTTCTATAGACTTAACCATTTTCTTTTCAGTAGATTTGATAACAATACTTTTAGAATCATATTGAGGCAGTAAAAGATCATTTTCCAACAACATTCCAATGAGAATTGCTTCAAAAATACTGATCTTTTCTCAAACATCAAACCTGAAGCTGGGCACTTTATACTGTCTTCCCTAACCTCTGGAACAATGACAGTCACTAGCCAAAACTACAAGTACACAGTTAATGGCAAGTTTTAAGGTTCTGAGTAGTATGTGTGAAGGAAGAGGAAAAATCAGAGGAATGGGAAACTAAACTTCAAAATTTAAGGATAAAAAAGTTGGCCTATACGAGAAATGATAGAAAAATAGGAAAACATGATTGGAAAAAGCTGTTTGCATGCAAGAAATGCAAACTCATTCTTAACCTGTTCACCTAAAATAATTCTTATTCTTATCACGTATTTCTTTTCAAGTAAAATGGAGCCTTGGATTTTAACAGCTTGTTATCCTAGCTCTTCTGACAGTGTCTTTGTTAACTCTTGGCATACCTTCATAACGCAGTCCTACCTTCCTCATTCAGACTTTGTTTTTTGTTGTTGTTGGTGTTGTTTACTGCTGTATTCTCAGTCCTAAAAAAGCACCCAGCACATAAATTGTCAAATGAATAACAACCCTTTGAGGGAGGAATTATTATCATCCTGGTTTTACAGATGAGGAAACTAAGGCTTAGCAAGGTTGAGTAACTTGCCTAGGGGTTACAAACCACCAGCCAGAAACAAACTCACGTCTGTCTGACCACAAAGCCCTCATTTGTACTCTACCCTCACTAGGCAGAATAACTTCTTAATGTCTCTCACTTGTGTCTCTTAAATGGCGACAGCTTTCTCAGGGGAAGGCTCAATTCAAGCTTCAACTTCTCCATCAACCTGTTCCTGGGCATCCTCAACCTCTGAACTCCACTACGGTCTTTACAGATCTCTCCTTCCTTTGTGCTGAGCCCTCTCCAGAGTTCTATAACAACAGTGCTTTTAGCCCTTTGCTGTACTTATTTCCTATCTCTCTCTTACATCAACTCCAAACTTCCTGAAGGCAGGAATGAGGAATCTTCAAAGGCCTCTGGCACATGGTAGAGTTGAATAAATGTCTGATGTATGAATGAATAATCTCCACAAATCCACAAGATAAAAAGGAACCCTTTAGCTCAATTCCCTAAACACAGGCAACCAGAGACTACAGCTTTCCTTTGCTTGGGAGTGGCAAGGGCATGCCTGAAATTCCCTGCCCACACCACAAAAGAGCATCAGTGTGCTATGTTAAGGCAGTTTTTCAACTTTTGAGACATCCAATGGAAGGACAATAGAGTTCCAAAACTTTAAGGGCTAAGCATAAAATCTGTCTTTGTAAAAGTGATCTACCTGGATGAGACACCAGCTCTCGATTTTAAATAATGTTTGACTGGTTCTATGAAATCACTGTTTTCAGTGATTCTGCATATTCTAAGTAATTTTATTTTTATATCCCTTGGCTTAAAAGTGCAATTTCATACTTCCCCACACATGTAAGGACAAAAACTGCTTGTCTCTTACAAAATGGGAAAATAAAGTAGAAGCTGTGTGTTAGGTAAAAAGGCATTCAATAAATATGTTATCATGCTGCCATGTGTAAACTCCTTCTAAAGGCACATGTGGCCTATTTTAGACTAATGAATACTGGGAAGCATTTGATAGATGATTTTCATTTACTTGGTATGAATACCATGTTCAAATTATATCTAAACAAAAACTGGTTTTAAAAAAAATATGGTGTAGAGAGTTGAAATGTCTGACCATCACCACTGAGTACTACACAAATAGTACTATATTCAATATTCCGACTCTAGGAATTTATAACCAAATGCTTGGCTAGACCAATTTCAAGGTACACGTTTTTGTTTTTTGTGTGTGTGTGTGTGAGGAAGATCAGCCCTGAGCTAACATCCATGCTAATCCTCCTCTTTTTGCTAAGGAAGACCAGCCCTGAGCTAACATCTATTGCCAATCCTCCTCCTTTTTTTTTTTTTCCCCCAAAGCCCCAGTAGATAGTTGTATGTCATAGTTGTACATCCTTCTAGTTGCTGTATGTGCGACGCGGCCTCAGCATGGCGGGAGAAGCAGTGCGTCAGTGCGTGCCCGGGATCCGAATCCCGGGCTGCCAGCAGCGGAGCGCGTGCACTTAACCGGAGCGCGTGCACTTAACCCCTAAGCCACGGGGCCTGCCCCTCAAGGTACACGTTTAAGGTAACAATTTTTTTACACATGCACCACCCAAGCCACAATCTATAATTTTACTACTTTTATTAACACTAATTTCTGAGCAGTGTCTAGCCCAACCTATAAGTGAGATATAAATAAGATTTATAAATAGAATACTATAAAGGTGGGACACTGGAATTTCACAATTGGAGCACATTAAATCACTTACTTGCAAACTAATATTTTTCCAAATATTTACAAGCAGATTTGGAAAAAAGTGAAAATCACTTTGCCAAGCTGGACTTCTGGCCTCTCAGTTTGATAACTGGTTCCTTCCTACCCCTACTCCCCACCCCTTCCCTTCTGTTCTTCCTCTGCTAGGAATACTCTCCTGACTCATCTCTGTCTGTCTATGTCCATCACTTCCTTGGAGACCTGGCTCAAGATTCAGCTCCTTGAAAAAGTCCTCCCTGACTAATCCTGATTTCCACTAACTACATCCTAACTTTGCATTCCCTTGGCATTTATATACAGTTTACACTATATAATCAATAACTTGTAAGACATTTTGCATTTTTCTATCATTTCTCCAACTAGAGACACATCACCTTTTATATTCTCTTCTATACAGCCAGCAATAAATGCTTCTTGAGCGACTGAATCAACAGCAAAAGAAAGCCGATGGCTCAAAAATTTCTGAAGCAAGCAACTGGCTTTTCAGATCACACTTACAATACTTTATCACCTCCAACATGCATGAGTCCTTCAACGAGATGAGATTTAATTTTGTCTTAGTTCCATAAATTCATCATAAAAGATCCAGGTTATAGATCACATATATACTTAAGGTAAACAATCCTGGATATTCAAATATATCTTGAGATTTAACATTTCAAGCTTCTAAAAAGCTTAAAGCCTTGAAGCAGCAGGCCTGTGAATGGTAGGAAGTTGGCACTAGCCTCTTGCAAAAGAGGCAAAACTCTAGTTGGCAGTAAATGTTCAAACACGTGAGCCTCCACTGTTAAACAAGGCTCATTAACCACACAAACTTGCTGTTTCAGCTTTCTGGCTTCAATGAAGTGCTATGATCTCCTTTGGTTATTGTTGAGAGCCAATGATGGGTTAAATTCCCACACATTAACCAGCGTTTTGGTGGTTTGCCCAAGAATACCTCTGGCATCGGTGGGGCTGATTTTTCATTTTTTTTAACAGAGCTGCCCGCCCCGGGGAGCCAGAGGTGAGTGATGAAAATGCCGACCCGGCATTTCTCAGGAGGCAAACGGAGACCTCCAGAACTCGAGCCGTTCGGTCTCCCTCTAGTTCTTAGTGTCAGCTTATCGTGCAGAGGCGGGCTTCAGGCGCGCCTGCTTTTTACTAAATCGCAACCGAGTCTTCCTTAGGGACTGCAAGCCACACTTCGGCGGCTGCCCAACTTTTCCCGCAGGGAGCATCAGTTTTTCCATCCTCAAAGCCCCTGCACATCGGGTCTGGGGAGAGCCGGGCCACCAGCAGAGGGGAAGGCGAGGACTCGGAGAGGGGGAGCGGGCTCGCTCCCCAAAAGGGGCAGACACAAAGTGAGCAACGGCCAGCCCAGCGCCGCCCGCCCGCAGCCCGCCCGCCGGCCCCGCTCACCCTCCAGCAGCACCTCCTTGCCCGCGCGCTTCAGCGCCTGCACGGCCTGGTCGTGGGTGGCCTGGCGCAGGTCGGTGCCGTTCACCGACAGGATGGCGTCACCCAGCCGCAGCGCTCGGCTCTGGTCGGCCGCCAGCCCCGGGAAGATCTTGGAGATGAGGATCGGCATCCGGTTCTCGCGGCCGCCCTTGATGCTGATGCCCAGGCCGCCCGCCTCCTGCTTCACCACCCGCACCCGGCGCACGGGAGGGG